AGTTACAGGTTATATGTTTATTCCGGTGCTAAGAACAGTGTTTAATGTGCATAGGTTTTTATCAATTAAACCGCTCTCGATGGTGGTTTTGACTAGCGTGTTCAATTATATGCTGACTAAAATGCTGCTGCAGATTTGCTCAGTAGACTCAAATATAACATTTGATACTAGTGTCTCGAATCTATATCTAATGCTTTAGCTTATGTGGTTAGTATAAGCACCTAACTTTATCACTTTGTCATATGACCATCGACACATAGCAACTCACTTAAATTCCAATTTCTTCAGACTTACTTTTGTTATCAGGCTCGACTGATAATCCAGTGACTATCGCATCACCTTACTCCATGCTTTTGGGAGTAAATTTTGTGTATAACTTAGTCACGACTGAACTTAGTTGAGTTGCTTGAATCTGTGTTTGTAATCCTAATAAACTGTGATACGACATCATTGTACATTTATAAGATTACATTTTCGACTTATAGCCACTTTCTTTTATTGGCAGACAAGCAAAATAGATCCTAACAAAAGTAATAATCGATCGAGAGAAATAGTCAAAGTGAAGGTACAACCAGTAGCAGGAAATAATATCAGTAAGTTGGAAATATAATTATCGCTTCTTGAATCAAAGAGCAGAGGCTGAGTCTGAGCATGTACTGCATATCTATCTCAGCAATAATAATAGTAGGTGTCTCTCAAACAGATATTGAATAATGATGTTCAAGCTTTGAGTCAATTTCACTGAAATTATAACAGTCATTGTATATTATCTTCTACAATCCTTCAAATGAATATAAATTGATAACATAATTCCTCAGGTATCTAGGAATGGCTCTAAGTAGTGTACAAAAGGCAATAAAAGTCCAGCAACCGGTCTAAATTGTCAGATATCCTAGTTTATAGGGAGAATTACAATCTTTACATTTTCTTACGATCCTGAAGTTATTCGTTATCCGATACCAAACTGAAGCTCAAAAACAAACTACCTGTGCAGTTAAGTCTGCTTCTAACCCTGAGCTGGTCTTAATAACATAATTTGTATTAGTTTTGGCTTCTTATCGTTCTATAAGCTCGTTAGAGATAAAAGTAACCATTTGGTGTTCACGCCGCATAAAAATCCTGATCGTTAAGAACAAGTTACGAACGTTCAATAATGCATATTCATAAGGTTTATTGTTTGTGTCTTTACCGTGAGGTACCAGTTAGAACTGAGGCTAAGAACGAACAGGTAATGATGACCATCTGCTGCAACTATGCTCAGATGATCTTTTTCTAGCACATACCAACTCTAAGCATAAGTAAAAATAATTTTGAAATGGCAACCCCCAGTCGTCTCAACGTTGGCGCCAAGTGGACCACATTACTATCAGCCACCGAAGAATAGGCTCGATAAAAGACTGTCTCATTCTGCAGCACATGTTTAGATTCAGATCATGCTCTAGTACAAGCGCGTATTTGCTTGTGTCATTGGGCGTAAGAAAAACATTGCACGGAAACCTCTTAGGCTTCTACTTTATGATAGCAAGTCAGTCAGTCACAACGTAGGACTTCCTTACTACGTACATCAATTCAGGTTGCCATACCACATCAACACAGAGACGCAGTTGTCACTTCGAATCCCATAGTGTTAGAGATAGTAGGAGTATTAGCAGTAATTGGAGAGGATATTATTAAAGAAGTATAATTCAGTGGAATGAACAAAAAGAGAAAAATAAAGGCAATAAGGAATTCAGAAGATTTGAGTTTGAGCGAACACAAAGAGTGGATGCACCTGCGTCAGTGCACACGGTTTTGAGCCATATCATTCAAGATCTCTAACCATCGATTTCTATCATCTCGCGGCTTCAACCAGGTAGTCGACACCTACCAACTTGACTCAATCCATTTGTCAGTGACTGCATGGGTCTGTGCCATGTTTTGGTTTGGCCGCCCCTGGCTTTCTTCCAACCTGCTCCGACACCACAAAACATTGCTCGTCGAGGTAGTCGGTGGTTGGGCATATGCAGCATATGTCCCAACCACCTCAACTGATGGAGTTTCACTACTTCATCAGTTGACCTGCCATCCCTACCTAGTACTCGTTTCTTAAAGACAGCACTGGTTACCCAGTTGTCCCAGGATATACAAGCAATGCTTCGAAGACACCTATAGTCAAAAACCAGTAACCTACAAATGTCTTTTACTCTTACTGGCCATGTTTCGCATCCATATGGTAGGACAGAGCGAACTGTTGAGTAGTGGTTGGAGAATGGATATCTCGCCTGCGCCATAAGTGACGCAAGTTGGCAAAAGCTAATCGGGCTTTCTGTCACAAGAGGACTTTTGTCCTTCCTTATAAAGTGGGACCAGTTAGATGGTATTGCTCGCAGTTTGCAGATTCTACCTAAGATATCAGTCAATCTAGCTGCTAAAACTGGACTACCGTCCTTAAAAATCTCAGGGGTCGGTCTACCAGTGCTTTGTGCTCTCTTTCGCTCTATATTTCCTATAGCTTTTTCAACTTAATAAAAAGTCGGAGGACGTAAGTCGATTTGCCATCCAGGTAGACTGAAGATCGTGAGCAACCCAAGTGTGGCTGAGGGAAATTGAATTGATCCTCAAAGTGTTTTGCCCATCGTTCCGATCTGGATTGAGAATGAATTATAAGACCATGTTTTTCCGAATTAGCTTCACTTACATTCGGATTCCTTATACTGGTTTCCTTGATAAGTCTGAATAGTTGTCTGCTGTTGCCTATCGCCGTTGCCTTCTCCATCTCCCGTTCTTTCGCTACCCACCACTGTTCTCGATCATTGCGTAGGCTTTTTATCAGCCTGTGCCTAAGCTGACTCCGCTCCTCATCGTACTCAGAGCCAGACGGGATGAGTTTTTGAACATACATCAGGTCAGTAGATGCTACTGAAATCCACCGCTTCTCCCTAACCTTTTGGTTTACCTTGCTAGCAGATATCACTGCTGTCTTCACAGCTTTTTGGATATCATTCCTAGCTGCCTCAGGGTGGGCTTGACTTTCTACAAGGCTGCCTAAATGTTTTTCAAATTGTTCCTGAAATATATCCTCTGCTCTGATATCATTAAGTAGAACCTTAATAGGCTTCGTTGCGGTGTCTTTCCTGTGTCGGATAAGCCTCAAGTAAATTCGCGCTCTCACTAGAGCATGATCTGAATCTAAACAAGTGATCCAGAATGAGCGGTAGTCCTCAATAGAGCCTCTCCACTCCTGTGAGCATCGCTGCAGTAGACAGTAGCCATTGTCTGATCTTTTAGCCACGATACCATATGATCCACCCAGGTATCTTTCTTTTTCGCTTTGTCCACCTGCTTGAGCACTAAAGTCACTAGCCATTATTACTATATCAGAGATGCTTCTTTATTTTGACTTGAAGAGGTCAAGTGAATGACGCCGTTCGAATCCTGTATGCGCGCTTCGGAGACGCGGGATACATCGATTGAGCGAGATTCTAAAGCCCTAGCTAAGGAAGCCAGTTGTCCTATTTTGTACAATGTTCGTATATTAAATGCTCCAACATGTAATTTAGAACGAGGTTTCAGAAGACCAGGAATAACGTTTCGGAAACTCGAATCGTTTGGATTAGCGGAGCAGCGTGATACGGGTATACGAGAAGGGTGATTCGTGGAGATAAGAGAGATGATAGGGGGCGTAGGAGGAATTTGATTGTTACCAATTCGGTCTGGTGTGCTTTTATGGGTGTGAAGTCAGATGTCACTTCCCGGCTGCCCACACCGTGGAAAGGTGTTTCCTCAGGAATCTGATAGAGAAGGTATATTAGTGTTGGTCTTAGAGACCTTGGAGCGTGACCTCAGAGCCCAGGGGACAACTGCTTGAGTTCGCTCAAATGTGGTATTACAAGAAGTTGTACTTTACTTACTTACTTACGTCTGTTAATCCTAATGGAGCATAGGCCGCCGACCAACAGTGAGTTCAGTACTATCTGCAATTATTCAATTGTGTTTAATAATGGTCGAAATATCTTTCACGGTCATTGTCATATTTTGGTACACTTTTTTTCAATTTATTTCAATGTATTTATATAACTCCAAGAAATACACTTTACTATCATATTCTCTTATTTCTGCTATACTAGATTCGTCGTGCTGCATTGAATCAATTGGATGGAAATTATGGAGGATTTACTATTTTTCCTCAGTTGAATCATATAGGTTGGTTTACGGAACTTTTTTGTATTTTTTGGTTCCAAATAAGAATTTCGAACTAGCAGGATCTAATACTACCGTTTGTATTTCACTATTTTCTGACTGGTAATGCGAATTAGCAATTTTTAATTTTTCTTTGTAGCAGAAAGATAGCTGTGGTTTGTAATGATCACTGGAATGATTAGTGTTTCAATTTACTATTATTTTAGACACTTACTATAGCTTACTGCGATGAGCCTATAGTGTTAGCAGTTTTTAAAGAATTATTTCGATCCTTGGGATAACCGAGTAAGTAATGCTGTCATTAAGAAACGAGTACTAGATAGAGATGGCAAATCAATAGATGAAGTATTGAAACGTCATCAGTTGAGTGGGTTAGGATATATGTGACGAATGCCCAACCACCGATTGCCTCGACAAGCGGTTTTGTAGTATAGGAGTGGCTTGGAAGAAAGCTAGAGACGACCAAGCCAAAGTACGGCACAAATCCATGACGTCACTGACAAGTGAACTGAGTCATGTTGGTAGGTGTCGACTACCTGGTTAAGGTCCGCGAGATGATAGTAATCGATGGTTAGATACTTTGAACGACATGGCTCAAAACCGTTTGCACTGGCACATCTGTGTCCACTCCATGTGTTCTCTGAAATTCTGATCTTCTGAATTCCTCATCACCACTATTTTCCTCTTTACAAAGTTATGTCACTGAATTATACTTCTTGAATAATGTCTTCAAACCCTAATCTTCTCCATTAGTCAGTTAGTCATATGCAACGTAGAACTTCGTACGTAAGTACATCAGTTCATGTTGCCATACCATTAGCCCAGAGACGCAACTGTTAATTCAAATCCCATAGTGGTAAAGATAATAGGAGTACTACTGGTAATGGAGAGGATTAGGGCTCCAAGATATTATTCAAGAAGTATAATTCAGTGAGATAGGTTTAGAAAAACAAAAGTAGAGGTGTTGACGAATCCAGAAGATTAGGATTTGAGAGAACACAAAGAATGAATGCACCTGCGCCATTGCAAACGATTTTGAGCCATGTCATTCAAGGTCTCTAACCATCGATTACTATCATCTCGCGGACCCTAACCAGGTAGTCGACACCTACCAACATGACTCAGTCCACTTGTCAGTGACTTTATGGATTTCTGCCATGTTTTGGTCTGGCCGCCCCTAGCTTTCTTCCATCCTACTCCTATACCACGAAACAAAGCTCATCGAGGCACAGTCAGTGGTCGGACATCCCTAACACATGTCCCAACCACCTCAACTGGTATCCCACGATACACAAGCAATGCTTCTAAAACGTCCGTGGTCGAATACTAGTAACCTACGAATATCTTCTACTCTTACCGGCCATGTTTCGGATCCATATAGGAGAACGGAGTGAACTGCTGCGCAGTACACTCGTCCTTTAGTCACCAAACGGATATCTCGCCTACGCCATAGATGACGTAAATTGGCAAAAGCCAATCGAGCCTTTTGTATCCGTACTGAGATTTCGTCAGTCACCAGGGTATCAGCACTGATGAGACTCCCAAGATAATTAAAGCAGTCGACACTCCCAACTACTTCACTCCCTATCACTAGTCCAGGTACTGATGCAAGCCAATCTTGAAGCAACATTTCGTATTTCGAGGGTTTTATGTTCTGCACTTGAGTAACGCCAAACCACTGTACAATTGACAGCACCGAACGTTAGACTCCCACCGTTCAAAATAAGAAGACGGAAGACGTTGGAGAACACTTATTAACAGAATCAAAAACATACAATCGAACATGCGTATTTATACAATTATACATATAATCAATATTGTCGTTTAAATATTTGAATATTAAATCAAATAGTTTCGATTGGCTATCCCAACACCTCCCCGGAATAAGATTTTTTTCTTGAGTCCACTTGTAGTCTTACGACTGGTTTGCGGTGGCGTTCCATTCTGTTTGTAGTTTTTCTAGTTAGTGTCTCCGACCTTCCCTTTTCTTCGGTATTCCGCGACAAATGTGTGGTTGTCGGTTCTGTGATCAACTCCAGCGGTAGATTTACGCGATTATCACCCGAGCGTACCATTCTCTCGTCCTTTCCCAGTTGGTTCGTGTATCTAACACAGCTTCCGAAAGCTCCTGTTATTCGATTCGATTTGGATTGGGGATGGTAAGGTGGGGACCGTAGATGCGTTATCCCGTCTGAACTGCAGAATCGCTTGAACGAGTCCGCAACAAATTGTGATCCATTATCAGTTACCAAGGTTTCTGGCACTCCGAAACAACTAAATAAGGTAGACAGCTTCTGAATAGTTTCTGAGGCTGTACAATTCGGCATGCTGTATATTTCTGGCCATTTTGTATATGCATCTACAATAATTAGAAACATTTTGCCTTGGATTGGGTCAGCAAAATCTGCACGAATTCTCTTCCAAGTTTTAGTTGGTTCCTGCTATTGTTGGGGCTCGCATTTCAAATGGTTTGTTTGCGGCTTGTCAGCAACAAAGGTAGTTTCGGCATTTGGATTCTGTTTAACTACTGGGAAAGAGAAGCATTAGGTACAGGTCTTCTTGGTCGGAAAACAAGAATAGCTGTTGACTTGAGAGTCAGTAGGGCTTTGGCTTTGGTACATTCGCCCAACGCTTCCGGAAATACGTGATGATGCCTTTTTATAATGGCATTTCTCAGACTTGACTCTAAAGGATTATTGATTCTAACTCGGCTGCAGATATTGTTGATAGGATGGTCTGTTAATTTTAACGCATCTATCAGATCCAACCCCAATAAATCGAGGTCTGGGTTCTTAGTTAAGTATACAGTTGCACTCGTTGTTGCCTCATTTTTTGAAACAGTGCACCATATTTCCCCAACAATATTTAACTTGCCACCAGATGCGCTGTGTGCTAGTTGCTTCGTTTTTCTTGAAGCAAGATGTTTGGGCACTGCTCAATTTTACTTAAGATTCTGGTTCTTATATCAGCATCTTCGGGAGATTGTAAGCTGCACACAGACACAAGGCACTTAAACTGGTCTGTCGTCATTGATGATAGATTAAATCGTTCGCATTCACGATTTACTAAGCCGGCGTGTTTTACCCAGTCATCTTCACTTGACTTAATTATTTTGAGGCATTGATAACGAATATTAAAGAGAGATGACTGTTCAGAGAAGATTTGCGACAGCGTTTCAATTGTGGCATCAAAAGAGAAATATCCTGGGTTCTTTGGGAAGATGAAATTACTATAACGTTCGTGTTCGATTGTGCCGAGCTTTCTCAAGAGGATTCTAACTTTGGCGGCGTCATCAAGTTTGTTGAGGTCGACGTTGAACAAATTCTCATACTTCTTGAACCAAGACACACCAGCTACGCCATCAAAATGAAATTCATGGATGGAATTAACTATCGAGTCTGTATGTGGATTATATGAATCATCGGTAAAACCTCTGTGATTCAGATTCATTTGTTTCATTAACATCTCCAACATACGTTCCTGGAACTGTTCATATCGTTTTCCTTGACGTTCCAGTAAAGATTCTATCTGTTCAAGGGTAATTGACATTGTGGGTTGAACAGTCCGTCGCCACTTTTATGTTCTGTACTTGAGTAACGCCAAACCACTGTACTAATGACAACACCGAACGTTAGACTCCCACCATTCAAAATAAGAAGACGGAAGACGTTGGAGAACACTTATTAACAGAATCAAAAACATACAATCGAACATGCGCATTTATATAATTGTACATATAATCAATATTGTCGTTTAAATATTTGAATATTAAATCAAATAGTTCATCGATCGACTGCCCTTGAAATATTTAAGCATTTAATCGATAAGTTCATCAATCCACAATGTGCGTGGCTTTCTTCTCGATTGGCTATCCCAACAGAGGGTGAGAACCGCATCCCGAACATGCTTGCATTGTTGCTTAGGGTGGTCAGAAGACTGCATTTTGTCAGCGTTTTCGCCGAAAAGAACCGTCATCGGCATATTCTAGGTCAATAAGCGATCCTCCTGGTAGAAGTTGTACTCCTGAAAAATCTGAAGAGGCTAATGGTAGCTCTAAAAGGATGTCTACGACAAAGTTAAACAAGAATGGAGAGAGTGGACATCCCTGACAGACACCACCTGAAGCAGAGAATTCCAATGACAGTTCGCCATAGGCTCTCACTCGACACTGCCACAGAACTTCACAATCCACCGAGTCAAATGCCACCCTAAGGTCCAGGACAACTATTGTAGGACGCCTAAATGTGTGTCTGTGTTCCAGGACCTGTCGTAGTGTGAAAATGTGGTCTATACAGCCACGTCCAGGTCGAAAACCAGCCTGGTTTTATCGAGTCTGCTCTTCACGTGCTCTAGTTGGGCATCTAAGTATAATGGAGGCTAACAGTTTAGAAACTATTAGTTAGACTGATTCCCCTGTGATTGTCACAAGAAGACTTTTGTCCTTTCTTGTAAATTGGGACAGCGCACACGCGACTATGTACTGAGATCCAGTGTAGAGGAGATAGTTCTTCCCTACGACTCAATGCTATCCATGCACCAGCGAGACCCCTGGAAGCAGCATCAGGGCTTCCAGATACACGAAGGGTCAATCGAGTTACTTCTTTATCTTGATATGGTGAGGTCAAGTGAATGATGCTACTCGGAGCCTGTATGCGCATTTCCGAGATTCAGCACATATCTATGGCGCGAGATTCTAAAGTCCAAGCTAAGAAAGCCTGTTGCCCTATTTGACACAGTGTCCGTACATTAAATGCACCAACATGTAGTATAGAGCGGGGTTTCAGGAGACCAGAAATGACGTTTCGTAAACTCGCATCATTTGCATTAGCTGTGCAGTGTGATAAAGGAATGTGAGAAGAGTTAGTCGTAGAGATAAGAGAGATATTAGAGGGTATAAGAAGGATTCGATTTTGACCAATTTGGTCTCATGTGCTGTTACAGGTATGAGGGCGGTTGTCACTTCCCGGCTGCCCACGCCGTGGAAGGGTGTTTCTTGAGGAACC